CCCAAAACACTAAAAACATTGTTTTTTTTCCGGGATTTCTGATTTCTTCCGGGCCAAACCAGGCCAGATCCGCCCAGGCAGCCTGGAGTTCCGCACGCCATTGAATTTTGTTCTTTTTGGAATCCTCATACTGAGAGACAATTCACAATCGTATATCAGTGTTTTTGTTTTTTTTGTTATTTGTTTTTTTTGAACCCGCACAAGGCTCGGAGCTCTAAAGCAAGGAACCTGTGACTGTCATTGGAAAGCAACTAAAATCTGATAGAAAACTAATGAAACCTGTGAGCGTTCCAAAAAGCTTCAGTTTTTCGCGCGAATGACTGCTCCTCCTCCTTCCTCTTCCTCCTCCTCCTCCTCCTCCTCCTGCACGTCCTGCTCCTTCTCCCCTTCCTTCTCCTCTCTCTCTCTCTGTCTCTCTTTGATTGTATTGGTTTCTTAGTGTTCTTGTTTGTATGGATTTCTTCGTGTTTTGTTTGCGCGGGTGAGAAAGGATATGATGATGAGGAGGAGGATGAGGGGGAGGAGTGGACGAGGACGAAAATAAACATATGGTGATGATGACGGTGATGATGATGATGACGACGATGATGAGGAGGATGATCAGGCGGACGAGGCGGATGGATGATGATGAGGACGAGGATGCTGAGGGATGATGGTGCTGACGATGATGACGAGGAGGATTGGGAGGAGGGATGATGATGATGACGATGCTGATACTGCTGATGATGATGGTGAGGAGGAGGAAGAGTTGGAGGAGGAGGAGAAGGAGGAGGAGGAGGAGGAGGAGGAGGATGGATGGACGATGATGATGGTGGTGATGATGAGGAGGAGGGGTGGTTATGAGGAGGGATGACGATGATGAGAAGGAGGACGACGACGAGGAAGAACGGGGGCAGGAGGAGGATGATGAGGATGAGGACGGGATGGAGGAGGGCTGATTTTCCTGCCCGTCCAGCTGGCTGCTTTCCGCCTCATCATCACCACCATCATCATCATCCATCCTCTTCCTCCTCCTCATTATCATCAGCACCATCATCGTCATCATCATCCCTCCTCCCCATCCTCCTCGTCATCATCGTCAGCACCATCATCCCTCAGCATCCTCGTTCTCATCATCATCCATCCGCCTCGTCCGCCTGATCCTCCTCCTCCTCCTCCTTTATTCTCGTCATAATCATCATCGTTATCACCGTCCTCATCACCGTCATCATCACCATATGTTCATTCTCGTCCTCGTCCTCTCCTCCCCCTCCTCACCATCATCTCCCTTCTCATCTGCGCAACCAAGACAATAACAAATCCATGCAATCAAGAACACTAAGAGACTAATACCATCAAAGAGAGACAGAGAGAGAGGATGAGGAGGAGGAGGAGGAGGAGGAGGAGGAGGAGAAGGAGGATGATGAAGAGGAGGGTGAGGAGGAGGAGGAGGAGGACTTGGACGTGCAGTAGGTGGAGGAGGTGGAGGAGGAGGGAGGAGGAGGAGTGGTCCTTCGCGCGAAAATCTTTGGTTTCTTGGAACCCCCACACGTTTTATTACTTCTCTATTGCATGTTATTTGTTTCTAAATGACAGGCACAGGTTTCCTTGCCTTAGAGCTACGAGCCGTGTGAGGGTTCCAAAAAAGCAAGAAAACACAACAACCAATAAAACCTGTCAGGGTTCCCAAACAACCGAAAAGCAATGGTTTTCGGGAATTAAGGCTGCCTGGGCGGATCTGGCCTGGAGGGGCCCGAAGGAAGTCCGAAGTCCCGAGAACCATGTATTTTTGTTTTTTTTTTGAACTCTCACAGGTTTTACTGTTTTGTTTGTTTGTTTGTTTGTTTGTTTGCGTGTTTGTTTGTTTGTTTGTTTGTTTGTTTGTTTGTTTGTTGTTGTTGCTGTTTTGTTACCCTCACAGGGTTCGTGGACCCATGAGGTGGTCTTATGGTTTCTGTTTGTATGATTTTCTTATTGTCTTTGATTGTATGGATTTCTGATGGTTTTTGATTGATTGGATATCTCATTGTTTTGGATTGTGGATTTCTTTTTGTTTGTGATTGCATGGATTTCTGATTGTTTTGGATTGTGTGGATTTCTTTTTGTTTTTGATTGTGTGGTTTTCTCATTGGTTTTGATTGTATGGATTTCTGCTTGTTTTTGATAGTGTGGTTTTCTTATTGTTTTGATTGTCGGGATTTCTCAATTGTTTTTGATTGTACGTATGATCATGATTGGTGTGGTGATGATGAGGAGGGATGCTGATGACGACGATGATGAGGGGGAAGATGGGGGTGAGGATGTTCATGTTGATGTTGATGATGAGGATGGAGGAAGGGGGAGAGAAAGGGAGAAAGAAAGCAAGACACACACAAGCCACCTAGACAAAGATGCCGCCCCCACATTGCTGGTTTGGGGTCCCTGTGGAAAGGGATTAAGTGGGGGGGAAATGTCACACGCCTGGAGGCCCACGAGGGGTCGGCGGACTGGAATGGTGAAGCATTTTAACGATGAGAAGGGTTTCGGCTTCATCATCCAGGACGACGGGAGTCCAGACATCTTCGCCCACAGGAACAACGTCAGCGGCAACCCGCTTCAGGAGGGCGACCGCGTTACCTACGAGGCAGGCGTGGACGACCGTAACGGGAAGCCATGCGCGGTGAACATCAATGGGGGGACTGGCTGCGGCGGTGGCGGCGGCTTCGGCGGCGGGGGCGGCAAAGGCGGCAAGGGCGGCAAGGGCAGGGGTGGCGGCAAGGGCGGAGGCAAGAACTCCAATCCTGGAGGCGACTTCGGCTGCGGCGGAGGGGGCGGCTTCGGCGGCGGCGGCCTCGGCGACGGCGGCGGCGGCATGCGCATGGCTGGCCCCGGCCCCGACTTCGGCCCAGGCCCGGGCGGCTACGGCGGCGGCGTGCCAGGCGGCATGGGCGGCGGGATGCCCGACCCCTACGGCGCGCCGCGGGACCCCTACGGCGGCGGCGGCGGCCCCGGCGGCTTCGGCGCCCCCCCGCCGTACCGCGGCTTCGGCGGGGCCCCGCCCCCGTACGCGGGCGGCCCCCAAGACCCGTACGGCCCGGCGTACGGCGCTCCTGGCCCGATGGGCGGCATGCCGCCCCCGTCCTACGGCGGCGCCGGCGTGCCCTTCGGCGGCGGCGGCGGCGGCGGCGGCTTCAAGGGCGCCTACTGAGTGCCGCCACCGGGGGCGGCCTGCCGCGGGAGCGCTGCCATGGCGGCTGCCAGGCGGGGCCCGGGAGAGCCCCTCTGCAGATCTGCTGGTGGTCTGACGTGGAGGATCACCTCGCGCTGCCTTCGCAGCGGCACTTTCAAGGGATCTCGGAAGCACCGCACCTCGCTGACTACTGATGCGCACCGCTTCGCGGGGGACCTGGCCAGACATGATGCCCTCCATCCCTTGCGTCCGGCGTGCGGAAGCATATCGAACGCATTGGCGACGAGGCTGAAGCCTGCCACCCATGTCGCGAGCGGTTTCTCTCTTGTTCCTCCTCCTCCGCCTCGTCACCCGTCACCCCCTCTTGCTCCTCCTCCTCGCCAGTACCTCCACCTCGCCAGTACCTCTTCCTGCTGCTCTTCTTCATTCATCCTTATCGTCCTCGTCGTGCTCCTCGTCCTCTTCCACCCCGTCCTCCTTCATCCTCCCTCCTTCCTCCTCATCCTCCTCTCTCTTCCTGCCTCCCTGTCCTCGGCCTCGTATTACATCCCTTGCACCTCCTTCTTACCGTTTCCTCGCCCTCCGCCTTGACACCTGTCTCCTGCTCCAATCTTCCCTCCTCGTTCTTGTCCTCCTCCTCGTCCTTGTCTTTGTCGTCATCCGTCCTCCTCCTCTTCCTCCTTCTCTCTCGTCTTCTTCCTCAGTCCTCGTCCTCCTCTTTCTTCCTAGGCCCCCCTTGGGCTATCCGTGACTCTTTCCAGGCCCTCGTGGAGGCTCTTTAGCCGAAAAACAAACAGTAACAGTGAATGCAATTTAATTGTTTGACTGTCTGGGGAGTCTCTTAGGGCATGGGGCCACCTTCGAGGTCTCTTGTGACGTATTTTGCTCTTGTCTGTCCGTCTGGGAGTCCACTGGAGACATCAAGGGGCGCTCTTAGGCTATCTTTGGATCGTCTTGGGCCGTTTCGGATACCTTTGTAGACTTTCCAGGGCCCTGGAGGGTTGTCTTGAGGCCATGACGGAGGTTTGCGCGAACGGTCAGCAGATATGGCGTGGCCTGCGGGGGGCGTTAGTCGGGCAATATGTTGTGGTCCCAAGCACCAGCCCCTGCCCAGCACCTGCGTCGCAGTCCAGCCGTGGATCTCTTATGCTGTGAGACTGCGATTTGTCCCTGCAGGCGTTGACCGAGAAAAAGGGAAATGAGCACGGGATGGGATAAAGAGGGCGAAGAGGAGGAAGAGGAGGAGGAGGAGGAGTTGGAGGAGGAGGAAAAGGAGGAGGAGGAAGAGGAGGGGCCGTAACCATTTTGGCTCAAAATGGGGCTGGACCATACGTGTGCCGACGTGAGCGCGGGTCGATGCTCGCCTTCTTCGAGGCGGTCTTCGCCGGTGAACGCCGGGTCAATTTGGTTGCAGGCATTTGCACATCTAGGTCTTTACAGCTGGGTGGATGTGCCTTCAACGGATGGTGGTTACATGATGTGCCGGCCATCCGTACGCTGAGCCGTGCAACTTATGTGCTTTGCCTTTCCAATTGGTGTGGTTCATCATGTGCGCTCGAGCTTTGAATGTCGACTTCATCCCCGCTTGTGTGTATTTCTGGGCGGTTGGGTTGAAGTGGTGGCGCAAACTCATGTTTTGGTGTCGTTGCTCGCAGCGGGTCTACTCATCGGTATGTTTGGGCATATTGTGGGCTTGGTTCTCTGTTGAGTTTGTATCCTTTTCATCGAGTGCGTTACACAACTTCTGCATGTGGTATTGTATGTGGCCGCAGCGTGGTCGGTGCCCGCGGGATTCATTTTCCGCGGCTTATGTGCGCGTGGGGTTCCGTGGTACCAATGCGCGGAGTTCGCCTTCTCTGCGCGGCCTCCAGACTGCAGAGGATGGGTGCGAGAGCAGCTGTTCCGAGGCTTGGCGTCTTCAGCATGTGATATTGTATGTGACTGGCATGGCTGTGAGCCTGTGGGCACAGCTTCCTGGTATCAATGTCGTGGAGCCGCATTGGTTGACTATCGGCTTTTTCGTGTACTGGTGCATGAACTTCGTTTTCTTGGAGTGAAGGGAGGTGTGGTCTGCTTGACCTGTCCTTTCTAGATGCATTGACGGCGTTGAAAGAGGAGGAGGAGGAGGAGGAGGAGGAGGAGGAGCTCCTGGCGCTGAAGAAATGCCAGATCAAGACAAAGCTTGTGCACGGTCGTCTAAAGGCTCTGAGTAAGTCTGCACCTCGGGCGGCATCGGTGCTAGGCTGGTGGGACTACCGCGTCTACTTGACCTTCCGATCATTGCCTGCCTTCCAGCCCAAATCCAGAGGAGGTTGCAGTATGCAGGAGGGAATCCAGGAGTTGGACTCTTGACGGTACCCCTGCAGGGATCGGCTGGAGGGTGAGGGTGAGCTCACGTCCATCGACTTCTTCACAGCTATGGACTCTTTCTTGTGAGGGCCTGCCAGGGGGCGAAAGCGCGCACCCCTGGGGCGCGCGCGCCTCGTCAGATCTGTTTGCAAGATGTGAGGGATATTTTTTGGCAAACGCTCCTTCCAGCGTGTCTGAGATGGCCTGGAAGGGGCCTTTCGGACAGCAATTTCCGTGCGATCCTTGGGACCTCGGTGGGGGTGTCGGGGAATCCTCTCTCTCTCTCTCGCTCTTTCTCTGTCAAGTATCGTTGCGCAGGTATATCAGCCCGGCTGTGCGGACGGAGGTGTGCCCACCTTTATGCTCATATCCATTTTGCGAAATTTAGGCATCGGAGCGATTGGTCTTTTGGGGGTTTCCGCGACCCTCGCGTTGGCCCCCGTTGGCCTTGAATCACCTTTGCTGGATCCGGTTGCCGACGATAGGTTCGTTTTTAGTTTGCTGCAAAAACAGCTTGCCGCTCACTGTTCGCAGCTTGTTGCCAGAGCGGGGGCCGATCAAATTAGTTTTGACATTGTTATTTGGGTGGGCTCCAAGTGTCTGGTGCCTTTGAATGCGCGGTGTTCTAGTTCTGCGAGCAAGATTGCCGAAGACCTGTGCCCTGATCTTTTCTCTGTGCGTGTGCGCGCGGTGCCCGTGCCCCTGTCGCCATTGTCCCCTGTCGCAGTTGAGTCTGAGGTTAGGTCTGGTGTCTCTCGCCAAGCTTGGAAAGTTGCTCTGACCATCAGGACAATCAATTGTATCAACTGGGGTGCTCACCTGGATCTCTTCGATTTGGAACCCGACGCTCACACTCGGATTTGCCAGGAGCATGAGCTTCGAGGTAAGGAGTTCCTGGGTCGGGCTCAGGTTCGCTCGAGGATGGACTCTATATGGATAGATGGGACACATGGGCGTCAGGGTGGCGACATCAGTTGAGTTGTGATGCTGGCCCGCGACTGGCTAGGACTGTACAGTCTTTCGGGAGAGAACTCGTGCCCGGGCGAGCCCTGGCTTGCATGGTGCATGCGCCTCGCTCGCTTCCCCCGTGCTGGGCGTCGCTCTACCTCGAGCACTCTGGCGGCCTCGGCCCAGCTAGCGCGGCCACCTTCGCCAGGCCTGGCGAGTTCGTCTGCAGCTTGGACGGCGAGCTTGTCATTGCTGGCGGCCTCAGTTTCAGCCTGAACGTGGCCCAGCAACCAGGCCTCCTGTGCCCGCCAACTGCCAGCATGGTTTTGTAGTGAAGTCGTCGCCCACTTTCCTTCAGTGCGGAAGCTGAAAGTTTTAGATTTTCCTTTGGTTCCAGACGGGCTCAGCAAGTGCATTGGCAGCATCCGCGCGGTGAGTGACCTCCCGTTGCTCCCGCGTGGGCCTGCGGGCCTGCGTTTCTACTCCAGCTGCTTGTCCTGAAGGCCTTGACCTTCAGGAAGCTTCCGCCGTTGCTGGCGTCTCTGCCGATGGGGCCCTCGCCTGGGTTGGAAGATTCGGACTGGGTGGAGGTTCTGGATCTGGTTGGCGAGGCCGAGGGCAGGCCGGCGAAAGGGAATGGGATTGGTGCTGCGAGTTCACTTCTTCAGGGTTACCAGCTCTGTGCCGACCAGCGCGAGATGGGCTTGGGGAGTTTGCTCGGTGCGGGACTGCCGTTCAGTGGGCCCCGTAGCCGCGCGGTCGATTTTTTGGGACATGTTGGGAATCCCTACCAGGCCCCTGTGACTACCCCATCTTTCGAGGCTTGCGTTGGTTAGGGTCTCGACGGGGATTTCTTCTTTCCGAGCTGAAGGCTATCGGGGCCCGCTGTTCCAGGCAGGTGGCGGTCGTGGAATCTGTTGGCAGCTCTCCTCGTGGCGCTGCTGGAAGCGTTGGGGGAGCATGCGCAACTTTCCAGGCGCGCCTCGTGCTTAGTTGTGCTGGCTCTGCCCGAGTTTTGTGGCGTCGGGGCTCAAGTCGCGGATTGTGGGCAGTCCTTAGATGGAGACGCCGTTCCATCGGCCGCCATGGCGGCTAACGACGCCGTCGCCAGCGGCGAGACTTCCTGGAGGGCTTATCTCCTGGGGGTGGGTGGGGGTGGTGGCGGTGGTAGGGCGTGGTGGGGTGGGTGCTGAGGGGGGGCGGGCTCTGTGATTGAGGGCCTTCCCCCTGGGCCCCGACGACCGTCTTGTCGAGCCGAGGGGGGGGTCTGAAAGCTGAAAAAAGGGGGCCGCTTCAGCAAGTCATGGAGGCAAAATCATCTCCCTTTCCCTTCCCATGGGGGGGGGGAGTTGGCTCTTGCCCTTCCTTGGCTAGGTCCAGACGAGCTGCGTGAGCTCAGCGATTCGCGAAAGAAGTCCAGCGCTGCGTCTGCGCGGGGATTCGGCCGTGAGAATTCTAGCCTGCTTGGCGAGTCTGCCTGGGCCGCCTCGGCTGGGCTTCTCAGGTATGTCGAGTCGACTGGGGGGCTGCCTGGTCAGGTTTCGGTTGTTGTCCTGTTGGGCAAGCTCTCTGGGGGCTTTCGGTCCCGAGTCAGCGTCGTCCTCGTTGTTTTGGGCCATGGGGAAGTATTGTGAGAGCACCTCCCTGGAGTAATTACAGCGTCAATGAAGTGTGCGTAACTTTCCGACGAGCATCGCCAGAGTCTGCCTTGCTGTGTTTAGATCGATTCGATCTCTCTCGATGGGGGGTATCGGGCTGAGTCCGGCGCGGTGGCGGGCAGCTCGATGGCCGCCAGTTCCATTCAAGTAGTGGTCATGTCTGCCTTCGATTGTTACCTCGGCTAGTCGGCGCCGACTTTGATGCCTGCATCGACGACGTCAGCTTGTCCAGGTCGGGATCGTTTTTCATTCGTTGTAGAATGCATTATGACGAGGGCTGAGGGCCGACAGCATGTAATCACCAAGTTTCTCTCGGTTGACGAGCTGCTCTATAGCCGTGGGCAAGATCGGGCTGGTCAGCAGAAGCAAGTGGGTTTCGCTGCAGCTCGAGCTGCAGTTGGGCGAGTTGGCTGGAGTGGCCGCGCCGACAGTTGTCGACCCAGGTGTGGACTACGCCGCGGTGCGTGCGCTTCGGGCTCGGTGCCTTGCAAAAGACCAGAGCCAGTAATTTCAAGGGGCGCATGGCTTTGGGTGGGCGCGAGACTGGGCGTTTGTGCGAGCGCGAGGAAGAGTTCGACAGGAAACCCAGTGCAATTAAGCCTCGGGTTCTATGGCCAGTGGTGCTTGCGGCGCTGAAGTTTTCGGAGTTAGTGGAACTGAACTGCGCCGTTTCCGCTTCCAGGGGGCGTTTGTGACTGCACCTGAATCCCGGCGTCGTTCGCTCGCGTCTACGTTGATTCTGGAGAACGATTGCGCCCGGCGTTTGAACGTCGCACCGCTGGCCCAATAGGCCAGAATGTGAGGACTCATGCGAACCCGTCTTTCGGGGTCTCTGGGGTTTGAGACCATGCGCGAGCATTTTCTTCTGTGGGGGGGCTGGCCCGTCCCAGGCCAAAATTTGTCTGGCTCTGTCAGCGCCTTTGGCATGACTCTGCGCCGGCTTGGCTGGGCGATGCCGAGCTTCTGCGAGGGCAGAGATGACCGGGACAAGCTGCCGAAACTTCTCGCGCCCTCGCCTCGCCTGGTCTGCCAGCCAGGTAAAGGCGGCCTCGAACTATCGCTCTCCTGTGGTGGTTTGTGTTTGGTTATGCTGGATGATCGCGCGCAGCTGACCCGCGAAGTAAATTGCTGCCCCAGTTTGCCCCTCCCCCCCCTACCCCCAGACGCTTCAATCGGCCGAATTCGGGCACTTTGGGGGCAGATTGTGTCCTTGGAAGCCGCGTCCGATCTGAACAGCGGTTGCAGAAATGCAGTGGGTCTTCTGTGCTCAGGGTCCCAGGATATTTCTGTCGCTGAAGCTCCAGCAGTCTGACCACATGGTCCGTGGAACTGCTGGAGGTGGGCCAAAGCTTTCATGTCTCAGCGAGGTAGATGCTCACAAGGACCGGGACGAATGAGGCATCTCAGGACAGGAGCGTTTCTTTCGTCGAGGTATTGCATCGCGGATGCAAGTGCCAAGTGCGCGGCTCTTTGGCTCCCGAGCTTGCCAGCCAGTGAGATGACTGATGTTGAGAAAACCGTAGCACGCACGGTCGTGGACTTTGCTGTTGCCGTTCTCTCTTTTCTTCATCGGGTGGAGTTTCCCGGGGTGGAGCGGGTTCCTCCTCCTCCTCATCTTCCCCCTCCCCGGGCCATTCGAAGATACCCACACAAGTGTGAGTGCACCTCGGATTTCTGGCCTTGTCCACTTTGTTTGAAAAAGCTCCACGAGTTCTTCTGGTTGAAATGAAAGCTCGAGTAGGGGCCACGGCAGGCTAGACGCCATCGTTTGCGATCGGCTCCGAAGCAGGGTGATCGATTTAGTTGCCACCGGTCGCTCTCGGGTTGTCATATGTTTGTGGTGCAAGCGTTACTCGCCAGGTGCCCGGGTGTGCAAGTTAGGCCAGGCATGCCAAGAGGCCACCATCACGGGTCGTCGCAACTGGAGCACGGGTCGCAAGAACCAGCAGCTTGACGAACCCGAAGTCAGCTTGGACTTGGACCTTGTTCAGTCCCCTTTCGCGTTTCTCTTGAGCCTCCCTCGCTCCCATCTGGTGCGCCCGAAAGCCTCTTGCTCAGATCTCCCGTCTGATGATGAAGAGAGGCGTTTGGAGGCCCTGGCTGCTTATCTGCAGCGGTCGGCGTGGAGGGGGGTGGGGTGGGTGGGGCGGGCTCAGAAAAATTAGTCGGGGCTCTGCTTGCGATGGGCTCGATGCTCTCGCAACGCCCTCAACGGTCCTGGAGGGAGTTCGCTGCCTGCCCGCCGCTCGCTGCCGTGCTCGCTCTCGGCAGTGGAACTGCTAATGACAGCCTTGCAGCAACAATCATGTATCTAGAGGCCGCCGTTGATGTCAACACACAGAGGCGGAGGCGGAGGCGGAGGAGGAGGAGGAGGAGGAGGACGAGGAGGAGGAGGAGGAGGAGGAGGAGGAGGAGGAGGAGGATGAGGAGGAGGAGGAAGAGGACAAGCATAAAGACGTCAGTGAGGACGACAAGGAGGGCGAGAATAACGAGGAGGCGAGCGAGGTCATATGCAGAGAGAGAGAGAGAGAGAGAGAGAGAGAGAGAGAGAGAGAAAGAGAGAGAGAGAGAGAGAAAGAGATAAATAGAGAGAGAGAGAGAGAAAGAGCTATATATATAGAGAGGATAGGGTAAGCATATAGAAGAGAGAGAGAGAGAGAGAGACAGACAGCGAGAGAGAGAGAGAGATATATAGAGAGACATATACCGAGAGAGAAAGAGAGATGGAGACAACTAAAGCGATACACACACTGAGAGAGAAAGAGAGAAAGAGAACGAGAAAGAGAGAGAGAGAGAGAGAGAGAGAGCGAGAGAGGGGGAGAGGGAGAGAGTGAGAGAGAGAGAGAGACAGAGAGCGAGAGATAGAGAGAGAGAGAGAGAGAGAGAGCGATATATTTATACAGAGAGAGAGAGAGAGATTTAGAAAAAGAGAGAAATCGAGAGAACTATGTATACATATGTATATATCTACAGATATCTGTATATACATACACATAAATTAGCCTGACAAAGGACCCAACCATATACAGTTGTGAATACTGTTGTTGTTGTTGTTGTTGTCGCCTTCGGTGGATCTCCTTGTGGGGCCACGAAGCGCGTGAAGAGTGCGCCGACATGGGGCAGGGCCACCGTACGGGCGCTGCTACTGGGGCCTGATGTAGAGCCCCCGACGTGAGGAATGTGCCGAAATGGGGCGGGGACGCCATGCGGGCGCTGCCATTGGGGCCTTCGGTGAAGCTCCTTATGGGGCCACGAAACGTGTGAGGGGTGTGCCGGAATGGGGCGGCGCCGCCATGCGGACTGCGCCACTGGCATCTTAGGTGGAGCTCCCTATGGGGCCACGAAACGTGTGAGGGGTGTGCCAAAATAGGGCGGCGCCGCCATGCGGACTGCGCCACTGGGATCTTAGGTGGAGCTCCCTATGGGGCCACGAAACGTGTAAGGTGTGTGCCAAAATAGGGCGGCGCCGCCATGCGGATTGCGCCTCTGGGACCTTAGATGGAGCTCCCTATGGGGCCACGAAGCGTGTAAGGTGTGTGCCAAAATAGGGCGGCGCCGACATGCGGACTGCGCCACTGGGATCTTAGGTGGGGCTCCCTATGGGGCCACGAAACGTGTGAGGGGTGTGCCAAAATAGGGCGGCGCCGCCATGCGGACTGCGCCACTGGCACCTTAGGTGGAGCTCCCTGTGGGGCTACGGAACGTGTGAGGGGTGTTCCAGAATGGGGCGGCGCCGCTATGCGGACTGCGAATCTGGGACCTTAGGTGGGGCTCCCTAGGGGGCCACGAAACGTGTGAGGGGTGTGCCAAAATTGTGCGGCGCCGCCATGCGGACTGCGCCACTGGCATCTTAGGTGGAGCTCCCTATGGGGCCACCAAGCGTGTGAGGGATGTGCCGAAATGGGGTGGGGACGCCATGCGGACTGCGCCACTGGCACCTTAGGTGGAGCTCCCTATGGGGTCACCAAGCGCCTGAGGGGTGTGCCTAAATAGGGCGGCGCCGCCATGCGGACTGCGCCACTGGGACCTTAGGTGGGGCTCCCTATGGTGCCACGAAACGCGTGAGGGGTGTGCCAAAATAGGGCGGCGCCGCCATGCGGACTGCGCCACTGGCACCTTAGGTGGAGCTCCCTATGGGGCCACGAAACGTGTGAGGGGTGTGCCAAAATGGGGCGGCGCCGCCATGCGGACTGCGCCACTGCGACCTTAGGTGGAGCTCCCTATGTGCCAAAATGGGGCGGCGCCGCCATGCGGACTGCGCCACTGGCACCTTAGGTGGAGCTCCCTATGGGGGCACGAAACGTGCGAAGGGTGTGCCAAAATGGGGTGGCGCCGCCATGCGGACTGCGCCACTGCGACCTTAGGTGGAGCTCCCTATGGGGCAACGAAATGTGTGAGGGGTGTGCCAAAATAGGGCGGCGCCGCCATGCGGACTGTGCCACTGGGACCTTAGGTGGGGCTCCCTATGGGGCCACGAAATGTGTGAGGGGTGTGCCAAAATAGGGCGGCGCCGCCATGCGGACTGCGCCACTGGCACCTTAGGTGGAGCTCCCTGTTGGGCCACGGAACGTGTGAGGGGTGTGCCAAAATGGGGCGGCGCGCCATGCGGACTGCGCCACTGGGACCTTGGGTGGGGCTCCTTTATGGTGCCACGAAGCGCGTGAGGGGTGTGCCAAGAGGAAGGGAGGAAGGAGGGGGAGAAGGAAGGAATTGGAGGAGACGCGGGGCGCTGTCTCTTCAAAGCGAGGCCACAGGATGATTGGGAAGGAGAAAGAGAGAGAAAGAGAGAGAGAGAGAGATACGTATTGAGAGAAAGAGAGAAAACACACATGATACAGAGAGAGAGAGAGAGGGAGAGAGAGAGAGAGTGAGCAAACCATAATCATATAGAGGAGAGAGAGAGACAGAGAGAGAGAGAGAGAGAGAGAAGGAGAGAGAGAGAGAGAGAAAGAGAGTTAGAGAGAGAGAGGGAGAGAGAGAGAGAGAGAGCGAGGCAGAGGGAGAGAGAGAGAGAGAGAGAGAGAAAGAGATAGAGAGAGAGAGAGAGAGAGAAAGAGAGACGGAGGAAGAGACAAAGAGAGATAGATAGATTGAGAGAGATAGAGAGAGAGACGGGGATGGGCTGGTGCGAAGGTTTTGAAAATCATTCTCGGGGCGTCCCAGGGCCTCCTCAGGGGCTCTCTGGGGGCCTTCTTGGGGTGTCCTGGGGACCCCTTCTGCTTCCCCGGGGGCCGTTTTTGGCCTTAAGTGGGTCCTCTTGTCGTCCACGAGGGGCATGTCTTACGCCGCCCCGGCAGTCTCTTGCAGTGTCCTGGGCGCACTCGGATGCCCTTTGGGGCCATCCGGGGGCCCTCTAAGGTCTGACGGGCTCAGCCCTCTGCCGCCGCCCCCTCTTCCGATTGTCTGCGCGGCAGGGTCGGCTGGGCTGGTTGGCCGACTGGCTGACCGCTCGGCTGGCAGCTGGGGTCGGCAGGCTGGCCGCTCCACTGGCTGGCTGTCTGTGTGGACGGTTGGCGAGCCAGCCTTCTTTCGGCGGATGGGCTGGTTCGCAGGCCTGCCAGCTGAACGGTACGTTGGTTTGGTGGCCAGCAAGTTCGAAGAGTGGGCCCGTTGCTCTGTGCTAGGGATCGTGGCCTCGGGAACGCGGATCCGCATTTGTTTACCGAGGAGCGCGACTTCGAGCGCGCGCGGTCCGCAGCTTCTGAAAGAGGGACCGTGGCTTCGGAAGCGCGGAGCGCGGGTTTATGTTTGGTAGCCAGGGGTCGTGGCTTCGGAAGCGCTGATCCATAGCTTCTGCAAAGAGATCGCTGCTTCGGGAGCGCGGGATCACTGTTTTAAAGTGGGATCGTGGCCTCGGGGGCGCAGGTCGATGTTCCCGGGACTGGCCTCGGGAGCGCGGAGCACTTTCTCTTACAGATCGTGACCCCTGGAGTGCGGACTCTCTATTTTTTGGCAAGGGCTCGTGGCTTCGGGAGCGCAGACCCATTGGGTTTTACGAGGGGTGGTGGCTTTGGCAGCGCGGATCTGTTGTTTTTCCCCACATGCTTGGTGGGATTATGGTTTTCTTCCATGCCTCGTCGCACCCGCGCTCACTCACCTCACCTCCCTCTTCCCCTTCTCACACAGTGCAGCACAGCACAGCACAGCACAGCACAGCTCAGCACAGCACAGCACAGCACAGCTCAGCACAGCACAGCAGGGCATAGCAGGCGTGGCATTTTCTCGACACCATAGGGGGTGCGCAGGGGGTGGTCCCTCAGCGCAGCCGCTATACACGACGGTCGTCCAGGGCATAGCAGGCGTTGCATTTTCTCGACACCATTGGGGCTGCGCAGGGGGTGGTCCCTCAGCGCGGCCGCTATACACGACGGTTGTCCAGGGCATAGCAGGCGTGGCATTTTCTCGACACCATCGGGGGTGCGCAGGGGGTGGTCCCTCAGCGCGGCCGCTATACACGACGGTCGTCCAGGGCATAGCAGGCGTGGCATTTTCTCGACACCATGGGGGGTGCGCAGGGGGTGGTCCCTCAGCGCGGCCGCTATACACGACGGTCGTCCAGGGCATAGCAGGCGTGGCATTTTCTCGACACCATAGGGGGTGCGCAGGGGGTGGTCCCTCAGCGCGGCCGCTATGCACGACGGTTGTCCATGGCATAGCAGGCGTGGCACTTTCTCGACACCATTGGGGGTGCGCAGGGGGTGGTCCCTCAGCGCGGCCGCTATGCACGACGGTCGTCCAGGGCATAGCAGGCGTGGCACTTTCTCGACACCATAGGGGTGCGCAGGGGGTGGTTCCTCAGCGCAGCCGCTATACACGCGGTCGTCCAGGGCATAGCAGGCGTGGCATTTTCGAGGGGGTGCGCAGGGGGTGGTCCCTCAGCGCGGCCGCTATGCACGACGGTCGTCCAGGGCATAGCAGGCGTGGCATTTCTCGACACCATAGGGGGTGCGCAGGGGGTGGTCCCTCAGCGCGGCCGCTATACACGACGGTCGTCCAGGGCATAGCAGGCGTGGCATTTTCTCGACACCATAGGGGGTGCGCAGGGGGTGGTCCCTCAGCGCGGCCGCTATGCACGACGGTCGTCCAGGGCATAGCAGGCGTGGCACTTTCTCGACACCATAGGGGGTGCGCAGGGGGTGGTCCCTCAGCGCGGCCGCTATGCACGACGGTCGTCCAGGGCATAGCAGGCGTGGCATTTTCTCGACACCATAGGGGGTGCGCAGGGGGTGGTCCCTCAGCGCGGCCGCTATGCACGACGGTCGTCCAGGGCATAGCAGGCGTGGCACTTTCTCGACACCATAGGGGGTGCGCAGGGGGTGGTCCCTCAGCGCGGCCGCTATGCACGACGGTCGTCCAGGGCATAGCAGGTGTGGCATTTTCTCGACACCATAGGGGGTGCGCAGGGGGTGGCCCTCAGCGCGGTCGCTATGCACGACGGTCGTTCAGGGCATAGCAGGCGTGGCATTTTCTCGACACCACAGGGGGTGCGCAGGGGGTGGTCCCTCAGCGCGGCCGCTATGCACGACGGTCGTCCAGGGCATAGCAGGCGTGGCATTTTCTCGACACCATAGGGGGTGCGCAGGGGGTGGTCCCTCAGCGCGGCCGCTATGCACGACGGTCGTCCAGGGCATAGCAGGCGTGGCACTTTCTCGACACCATAGGGGGTGCGCAGGGGGTGGTCCCTCAGCGCGGCCGCTATGCACGACGGTCGTCCAGGGCATAGCAGCGTGGCATTCTCCCCTCACTATGCACATAGGCGTGGCACGACACCACAGGGGGTGCGCAGGGGGTGGTCCCTCAGCGCGGCCGCTCTGCACGTTGGTCGTCCAGGGCATAGCAGGCGTGGCACTTTCTCGACACCGTAGGGGGTGCGCAGGGGGTGGTCCCTCAGCGCGGCCGCTATGCACGGCGGTCGTCCAGGGCATAGCAGGCGTGGCACTTTCTCGACACCATAGGGGGTGTGCAGGAGATGGTCCCTCAGCGCGGCCGCTATACACGACGGTTGTCCAGGGCATAGCAGGCGTGGCACTTTCTCGACGCCACAGGGGGTGCGCAGGGGGTGGTCCCTCACCGCGGTCACTATGCACGACGGTCGTCCAGGGCATGGCAAGCGTGGCGCTTTCTCGACGCCAGACGGGGTGCGCAGGGGGTGGTCCCTCACCGCGGCCGCTGGCTGGCTCGAATCTGTCCTCGATGGAGGATAGAAGGCTAGGAAGAGGGAGGAGGTTCAAGCAATATGGCGTTGGATGACATATAGGGGAACATTCGCGACGAGGGCTCAGACCGCAGAATTGCGCATATATTATACACTTCAGCAAACACATAAGATTTAAATTGAGTATGTGGGGTTCCTCGGTAGCGTAATCAATGCGAGGGCCGAGGGGTGTCGCGCGTGTCCTCAGAGACTTCGAGTTTCACCTCCTGAAACGCTGACCAGTTCTACAAATTACGGTGGCAAAGTTTATGAGCCTCGGTGGAGGCTGCAATGTTGCGAATTGCTTCTTCTGACGGGTAGGAGCTGTTCTTATCAGATGCTGAGGACTCGCCCGTGAAGGCTCATGGCCTCCACAATGGGGGGCCGGCGCATTTGACGGTTTTTGTAGTTTTGGTCGGCCAGCGCCTCTCTGAGGGCTTTTGTGGAGTCTTTTTGGATTTCTGGGTTCTCTCGGGTGATTTTCGAGGCATCTCTGACTTCCCGTGGCCCTCCTGGGCTGTTGGTGGAGCATCTTGGCGTCCTCTTGACACGTATTTGGGGTTGGCCATGGCTCCCATGAACGCCCAGGGCCCTTCCGCGCCCCCTCCCTCTTCCAAACTTTGGGACAATGGTCCAGGGATGGGTTGGTTGAGGGACAGACATCTCTCACGCCAGTACCCAATGGGTCGGTGAGTTCACGGAACCTTCACTGCTGCGCTGCTACTGAGCTGTATTCTAGTCGCCGGTTCGTTCTTTGGTTGCGAGCGGGTCGTGACGACCACGCCGAGTTCGCTTCTCATTCCTAGGGGTAGATCTACAGGGTATACAGCATAGACAATCTTGAATGCCACGTCTGCATATGTCTGCGGCACGTCCGTGCTGGAGGGTGTGGCTGCGTTGTGTGAAGCAGGGGGAGGTGCGTCACTGCTGGATTGCCAGAATGTTCTACTACGCTGCTCGTGCGTTCCTACCGCTGATTCTTCCGAGCCTTCGACCGCTTGCTTGTTGCCCCTGCTCCTCTTTGCCAATGGGTGATCCTCATGCTTTCCTACACTCCGCTTCTCAGGCTGCTTCCTAGAATGTCACCATCCGAGCATTCCAGCAGACGGTCTCCTCCGCTAGTCTGCGCATTCATTTTGATATAGTTGCTCTGTGCCTGTACGCGGCCGTAACCATCGTCATTGTTTGAAATTTGAAATTGTGCCTTTTACCCCTCCTGGGAATGACGACGGCGATGCCTCAGCCGACGACGCCGTCGCTGGTGACGCCGACGGCGACGACCACGACCACGTCCACGGCGAGGAGGAGGAGGATGAGGAGGATGAGGAGGATGATGATGAGGAGGAGGAGGAGGATGAAGTCCCCCCCTCCCCTTCCTTTCCCGGCCCCTCTGCCTGTGCCTCTTCTCCTCCCCCCCCTCCCCTCTCCTCCTCGTCCATTCCCTGCTGTGGCCTCCTTTTTCCTATCCCCTCCCCTCTTTCTATTGATTTTGGGAATAGCCAATGCTAAGCTAGTCTCGCAGCTTAAGTCGAACTAGTATCTGTCGAAATTCGCGGGCTCCTCGACACTCAAGGCCAGGATGAGATAAATCGCACAATGCTGAAACTGTTAACGTACTCAAGTGGCTTACGCCATTCCCCCGGCACCCCAGAAGGAATGAGTGTTTCCGACGATCGTGGAAGTAATCTAGTGGGTCAGGAGCTTCTTGGGTGCATGCGAGGGGCTCGTGGGAAGCCTCTTAGGGGCCTCTTCGAGGGCTCTCGGGGGCATCTGGGGGGGGCCTCTTGGGCCTTCTTGGGGGCCTCTTGGGGGCTTCTTGGGGACGCCTCGGAGGTCTCTTCTGGCCTCGTGTGGTCGCCTCGGGGGCGTCGGGGGTCTCTTGTGGCCATCTTGGTGAGAAAGGCTCGAACTGTCAGTTCGTATCTTCCCTTTTGGCTCCTCTTAGGGCCCTCTTGGGGCACTCCTGGGCCGTCTTGAGAGCCACTGCGGCCGTCTTGGGGCACTCTTGGGCTGTCTTGGGGCCCTTTTGGAGGCCTCATGTGCCTTGTTGGAAGGATCTTGGGGGCCTCTTTGGCCGTCGTGGACGCTGCCACGACGAAAAAGGTAAGTTTCGAAGACGCTTACGGCGAATCACCGCTGCCCCCTGCCTTCTAGGATACGCATACCAGGCCGAACGTTTAGGCAAAGTTTGGCCACGCTATTGAATCATGCGTTCCCCCAGCCGTTGTGTAAGCACTTTGGGGAACACGTCGGGGAGGAAGAGGAGGAGGATGAGGATCAGGAGGATGAAGAGGAGGTGGTGGAGGTGGAGTTCCTTGGAGCTTTTTGGAGGTCTCTTGGGGGCCTCCTGGGGCCTCTTGGGGGCCAGCCTTTTGGGGCTTCGTTGGGGGCCTCTCTGACTGTCTTACGGCGTTCCTGGCCCGTCTGACGCCGTCGGAAGCCGTCTTGGATGTCTCTCTGAACCAACTTGGGGGGGCCTTGTTGGGGCGCTTCAGGGCTGTCTTGGAGGCCAGCCTTGGTGTCTCGGGGGTCTCTTGGGCCGTCTTGGGGCCCTCTTGGCGCCGCCTTGGAGACTTTTTGGGCCGCCATGGGTCATCTTGGAGGCCTTTGGGGCCATCTTGGGGGGCGATCTTCGGGGCCTCTAGGGCCGTCTTGGGCCGTCGGAAGGACGAACAGTAGCAAATGCCAACGTCCATCAAAAACCTAAGGGGAATCACTGGAGAACCCCTTGGAGGCCTCTTGGGCCATCTTCCGGGCCTCTTGGGCGCTTCCCGGGCCGTCTTGGGCTATCTTGGACCATCTTGTCGGTATTGGAGGCACCTTGGAACCGTCTTGGATGCCATCTTGGGGCTATCTTGGAATCTCTTGGCGCGTCTAGTGGCCATAGGCCCATCCCGCCACCGTGCGTGGTTTCTAGGTCAGAGGTTTCAGGGATGCTTCTTGGTGTTTCTTCTGAGCGCTCTCGGGGGCCTCTTCGGGGCAGCTTTGGGGCCTCTTGGGAGCCTCTCGGTGGCTTCTGGGGGATCTCTTGGGGCCTCTTGGGGGCCTCTTGCAAGCCTCTTGGGGCCTCCTGGGGGCCTCTCGGGGCCGAGGGCTCGAAATGTCAGTACGGGTCCCACATGTGGGCCCCCAGTCTGGGAGCGTCGGGAAGCCGAATTGGCGAGAACTCCAATTTTTTTTTTACCTAACGAGAATCAATGATTTTGGCCTCTTGGGGCCCTCTTGGGAGGCCTCTTGGAGGCCTCTTGGGGCTGTCTTGGAGGTCTCTTGGGCCGTCTGGGGGCCGTCTTGAGCGTCTTGGAGCGATTGTTCGGCGACTCGGAGCCCTTTTGGACAGTTTTGGGGTCTTGGGGCCCTCTTGGCCCGTCTTGGGGCCGTCTTGGCTCCGAGAAAGTCGCCCTGGGCTCCGTTGATGAGTTCTCGGTCCCCCCTGGGCCCCACCCCCTGGGCTCCCCCTGGGGATCCCCTCCCGACGACGATGATGATGCTGATGAATATAATTATGCTTGTTATGATGATGATGACGATGATGATGATGATGATGATGATGATGATGATGATGATGATGCTACTGCTGATTATGATGATTATGATGATGATGTTGATGATGACAATGATGATGCTGATGATTATGATGATGGTTCTGATGATTTTGATTATGACGATGATGATGAAGCTGCTGCTGCTGATGCTGATTATCATGATGATGCTGCTGATGATAATGATGATTATAATCATGGCGATGATGATGAAGCTTCTGCTGATTATGCTGATGGTGATGATGATGGTGATGATGAAGATGATGACGATGACGATGACGCTGATGATGATGATGGTGATGATGATAATGATGACTATCACGATGACGATGATTATGATGATGATCGTGATGGTGATGGTGGTGATGATGATTCTGATTCTGATTGATGATGAACAAGATTATGATCCTAATGATGATGAGGATGATGACGACGATGACGTCGACGATGATGATGAGGAGTATGCTCGGTATGATGATGATGATGATGATGATGATGATGATGATGATGATGATGATGATGATGATGATGATGATGCTGATGACAATGAGGAGGAGGAGGAGGAGGAGGAGGTGGAGTAGGAGGAGGAGGAGGAGGAGGAGGAGGAGGAGGAGGAGGGAGGATGCTGCTGCTGCTGCTGATGATGATGATCATGATGCTGAGCAGATGCAGACGGGACAGGAGGAACACCAGGAATAGTAGAGATTCTATTGAAGGGAAAGAGGAGAGCATCCTGATGCTGATACTGATGATGATGATAATGATGATTCTACTCATGACGATGATGATGAAGCTGCTGCTGATGATGCTGATGGTGATGATGATGATGAAGATGATGATGATGACGATGATGATGATGATGGTGATGATGATGATGATGATGATGATGATGATGACTATCATGATGACGATGACGATGATGATCGTGGTGGTGGTGATGATGTTGATGATGATGTTTCTGATTCTAATTGATGATGAACACAATTATGATCCTGATGAAGATGAGGATGATGACGACGATGACGTCGACGAGGATGATGCTGATGATGATGATGATGATGATGATGAGAATGCTCGGTACGATGGTGATGATGATGATAATGATGATGATGCTGATGATGATGATGATGAAACTGTTGGTGATGATGATGATGATGATGATGACGATGATTACGATGATGATGATGATGATGATGATGATGATGATGAGGATGATGAGGATGATGACGATGGTGCTGATACTGATGCTTATGATGAGGATGATGCTGTTCATTATGATGATGCTGACCATTGTGATGATGATGATGATGATGATGATGATGATGATGATGATGATGATGATGATGATGATGATGCTGATGCTGATGCTGATGCTGATGACTGATGATGATGATGATGATGATGATGATGATGATGATGATGATGATGATGATGATGATGATGATGATGATGATGATGATGATGTGATGATGATGATGTGATGATGATGATGAGGAGGAGGAGGAGAGGAGGAGGAGGAGGAGGAGGAGGAGGAGGAGGAGGAGGGCAGGAGGAGGAGGAGGAGGAGGAGCAGGACGAGGAGGAGGAGGAGGAGGAGGAGGAGGAGGAGGAGGAGGAGGAGGAGGAGGAGGAGGAGGAGGAGGAGGAGGAGGAGAGGAGGAGGAGGAGGAGGAGGAGGAGGAGGAGGAGGAGGAGGAGGAGGAGGAGGAGGAGGAGGAGGAGGAGGAGGAGGAGGAGGAGGAGGAGGAGGAGGAGGAGGAGGAGGAGGAGGAGGAGGAGGAGGAGAGGAGGAGGAGGAGGAGGAGGAGGAGGAGGAGGAGGAGGAGGAGGAGGAGGAGGAGGAGGAGGAGGAGGAGGAGGAGGAGGAGGAGGAGAGGAGGAGGAGGAGGAGGAGGAGGAGGAGGAGGAGGAGGAGGAGGAGGAGGAGGAGGAGTTTTTTGTGCTGGTGGGGCCAAGGGGTGCAGTCGAGACTAGCAGCCAGCGGCCTCGCGCTTAGGGCGCGAACATTGGGCTGACGGGCACCTCCCAGGCGGGGTGAGGAGGAGCAAGAAGGGGGGGCGAGTGCCTCCGTCAGGAAAAACACAAAAGTTTAAAAACGGGAGCGGACCCAGGACCAACCAGCCTCAAGCATCATCCTCCTCCTCGGAACCAGGAAGGACCACCAGGCCCTTAAATTTGTGGTCGAGGGCGAATGCGCCAAAGGGGGTGGGGCGGGGTCCGACTCCCGAGGCCCGAAGCTCGATCCCGCTGCGGGGGTGGCGACCACGCCACAGCTTACGCAGGCGGTCCCACGCCACAGACCCACGCGGGCAGCTTCCGTGGCAATCTTGACCGAGCTTCTGGGTGTTGTGCTCACTATAAGCACCGCATACACTGCAGAACACAAAAGGGCCCACCGTCCAAACGCGGTGGCCAGCTCCAGGTCTGCAGGGGGTGGCCTTCAAAATCTGGATCGTGCTCCCCGATCTCAGGCACCTGATGCACCTGAAGCCACCCTTGGGAAACCAGACAGGGTCATGAGTGCCCTCGGGAGGCGCAGCATCATCCGAGAGCCGAGGGACGATTCGGCGCCCCCTCCGAAGCCCCACCTCGCGACGGGAGGCGGAGGCCAGACTTGGCCCTGCCCCACGGATGGTCCTGGCCAAGTACTTACCTACATACTGG